ATGAGATATTAAAGGGTCGCCACAACATGAGGTATTAAAGGGTCACCACAACGTGAGGTATTAAAGGGTCACCACAACATGAGGTATTAAAGGGTCACCACAACATGAGGTATTATTGGGTCACCACAACATGATGTATTAAAGGGTCACCACAACATGAGGTACTGTATTAAAGGGTCACCACAACATGAGATATTAAAGGGTCACCACCACATGAGGTATTATTGGGTCACCACAACATGAGGTATTAAAGGATCACCACCACATGAGGTATTATGGGGTCACCACAACATGAGGTATTAAAGGGTCACCACAACATGAGGTACTGTATTAAAGGGTCACCACAATATGAGATATTAAAGGGTCGCCACAACATGAGGTATTAAAGGGTCACCACCACATGAGGTATTATTGGGTCACCACAACATGAGGTATTAAAGGGTCACCACAACATGAGGTAATATTGGGTCACCACAACATGATGTATTAAAGGGTCACCACAACATGAGATATTAAAGGGTCGCCACAACATGAGGTATTAAAGGGTCGCCACAACATGAGGTATTAAAGGGTCGCCACAACATGAGGTATTAAAGGGTCGCCACAACATGAGGTATTAAAGGATCACGGCGTTAGAAAGGTTGAGAGCCACTGGATTCAACGATCTGATTATGCCCTTGCAATTATAGGATCTGTCTGCGCTATTTTATGTTGGCTAATTAGTCTTGCAAGTAAATGGACTAACTGCGCTAGAATTATGTAGCTGCTGTTACAAACTCAGTCACATTTCTGTACTGGCAGCTCTAAAACACTGTTAAAATGTTCTAATAAAAACGCTCCATCTGAATAGATTGTTGGACAGAAAGTAACTAATCAATGAAGCGTGTACAGCTAAATGTTTATAGGCTATAATAAGGGGTATGTTAGCCACGTAAATTCCTATACTCATAAATAACGCCCTAACATTGCTACCAGTTAGGCTCTCTGTTAAGTGGGATGTATAAATTGTTTTCCAACCTTCAGAAGCGTATTCTCCCTCCTTCCTCTTCCTTTTCCCTTCCTCTCTCTCTTCCTTTTCTTGTATTATACAACAAAAGACGCACTAATCAGCACGTGGAGACATGTTTCGGGGTTTCCACTGCGCAAATGCTGCCCTGTTATCTTGTCCGTTGAGTTTTCCAGTCACAGTTTGTGTTGTACTTTTTACTCCGTTGATAAAGACTTTGGTCGAAAAGTGTCGATGTATTTATGCCCATCTTTTCCATTCCCTACACGGAGTTTTGTGGTCATATATTTTTTAGCACTTCTTTGCAGCTTCGGAATGAGACGTCTGAAGAAAGCCGGGGGTGACTGGATTTAAATCAGACGAGAAAAAGACCGCCCAGAACGATGATAAAAAACATACCCCCCCCCCCCCCCTCAAAAAAAATATATACAATTGTGTGTCTCCTTAAAGAGAATATTTTGTGATATCATGATGAAGAAAACAAATGAACAAGAGGAAAGATGAAGAACTCAAGCACGTAGCATAACATTACAGAAACAACAACAGTATACCGTCTGAGCTGAAGTTAAAGTCGAGAGGATCGACTTCATCTCACGGGATTTTCCCCCAAATGGATCGGTCTCTCTCCGCAGAACAGCTAGAGCACAAACTCCGTAGCTCCGGTGACAATCCCCAGTGACCTCCATAAGAATTGTACACGTGAACTGAAGGGCGCAGCTGTGGAGCGAACACACGACCTTCAGAGTGCGAGGCAAACGGCTTGACAACCTGCAGGGGTGACACAAAGAAAACATTGCAAAAGGGGGGGGGGGAGACGGAGCAAATAAAAAAGGGGAAGGGGTGAATTCACAGCTCTTCAGCTTAAACATTTTCTATCTGGGTTGGAAAGGCTCGGGGGGGGGGGGGGGAGAGAAGGGTCTAGGACATTGTTAAAAGCATATTAACAATAATAATGATAATAATAATAATAGTAATAATAATAATAATAATAATATGCTGAATGACAAATAAATCTAACAACATATTTAAAAAAATATTTAGGATTACATTTTTAAAAATATAACACACATGACCAAACACTCTGTGAATAGCTTTATAAGATGTCTCTGTGGTCGAGGCCGTCACTGTGTCTGTGGTCGAGGCCGTCACTGTGTCTGTGGTCGAGGCCGTCACTGTGTCTGTGGTCTAGGGCCGTCACTGTGTCTGTGGTCTAGGGCCGTCACTGTGTCTGTGGTCTAGGGCCGTCACTGTGTCTGTGGTCAAGGGTCGTCACTGTGTCTGTGGTCAAGGGCCGTCACTGTGTCTGTGGTCAAGGGTCGTCACTGTGTCTGTGGTCTAGGGCCGTCACTGTGTCTGTGGTCTAGGGCCGTCACTGTGTCTGTGGTCGAGGCCGTCACTGTGTCTGTAGTCTAGGGTCGTCACTGTGTCTGTGGTCTAGGGCCGTCACTGTGTCTGTAGTCTAGGGTCGTCACTGTGTCTGTAGTCTAGGGTCGTCACTGTGTCTGTAGTCTAGGGTCGTCACTGTGTCTGTAGTCGAGGCCGTCACTGTGTCTGAGGTCGTGCTGAAAATGGAGACGTAGCGCTTATGGAAATGCCCCAAGTGCTGTGATGTCGGTTCTTGAAATAAATTAAATAAATCATTTAATGTGGAGTCGGTACCTGATTGATTGATCGAGGAAATAGGAAACGGATACGCAAGCCAGGTGTATCCTACAGTCAAAGACAGACAGGGATTATATAGGCCAGGCGGGACAGTGACCTTTTAACTAATCACAGATCTCAGGATCTTCTTCTTGTCCATACCGTGGGTCGTTGGGAGTCATGTTTACCTTCTGTCTCGCAGACGTTCAGTGAAATGAATCAGATGATCCTCCATGCCATGATGTCAGACAGTACAGCATCTCCACTCTCGGTCTTCCTCTGTCTCTTTCCTCCATCAACTTTCCAACCGTCACGATGTACTCCACTTTTCTTCTTCGCACATCCGTTTTAAAAGATCTTACTTATTTGTATGCAGACTTTTGGTTTCTCGCCTCTTAGGCAAATGCATTTCTAAGTATGTTATCATCTAATTACTATATTGTCCTATTATCCAACATTCGTTAGGTCTATGTTGGCTCTGTGGCTAAGTCGATGCGAACGCTTCGTAGTGCCGGAGTGCCGGGTTCGATCCCAGCTGAGGGCCATGCGCCTCGCGTTGGTTTCGACAATGGTATCATGGGGGCCGACCGTCCAGACCTAATGGCAATCTATAAAGCTTAAATTTGCCCAGAGAAACCACACAACTGCCAGAGGCTGCTGGGGTTGGTTCTGCAACGTCCTGTAAAGGATACGCAACTGAACATTAGGTCTATAATTACTTCTGGCACAACTCTTGGCATCATTCAAGTGGAATCTCTCTAACAGACCGAAGTAGTCTTTTATCTTCCTTTGACACTCAGTGAACCTCTTCATTTCCAGGTATGTCGCAATGTGTCTTAGCCCCTTTCAAAGCATCAAGTACCCACGTAAACGTTTGCATCTTACTGCAAAACCATATCTTCGCGGCCTTGAATTGCGTTTCTTTTTATTTTTTGTCCGAGATTCACAGCCATATCTTAAACATGTTTTGTGTCGCATGCAGTAACTCTTCCCCAGCCACCAGTGACAGGAAATATGACCTAGAAAATTAGGTCGTTTCCATGGGGGAGGGGGAGGGGGCGAGGGGGGGGGGGGCAGAGGCTTAGAGGAGACAAGGGATGGAAAAAAAAAAGTTGCTGTAGGAAATAAAAACGACATAAACGAAACTATTTCGGCTATGCTAAAAGTCATCAATCCGAAAGATCGCACTCAAGGGGAAAGTAGTAGCATTTTTCAAAAGATACCCTGTCAACACATCACGATTAAAATTCTAATAGATTTAGACTTTTTTTTCGATTTCAATGTTTGATTGTATCCTTGTTAATTACTCTTGGTTGTGTTTGAGGTTGAATGAATATTTTATACATTATGTATCGATTGTAGCATATTGCAGGAGTATAGAAAAAAAAAGTTGAAGGCAAGAGAGTAGGAGGCAGACATCGATACAAGTGGGAGGATATCATTAAGAGGTAGCGAAATAGAAGTCTGACAGGGCATATCCATGCTAAAGGCAGAGAATGCTGGAGCCTCATTGCAGAAAACCTTTATTGTACAGATAAAACCTAACTGACTGACTGAAACATCCGGCGCGCCACCAGCAAAAAAATTTCCTCCGGAGAAGGAGGGGGGGGGGGGGGGGTACCCTCTTCACCTTACATATTTTCTAAGCAAATAATTGGTCGAGGTAGAGGGGAGGGGGGCACTCAGGTCCTTGAGGCCCCCACTCCAATTGCCTCTTCTCACCAAAAAATTATATAAGTTGACCAAGTTGCCTATTATTATTGATAATGTGGTGAATAGCAAATAATTATATTAATATACTTGAAATAATATGTATATGTGCGTGTGTGCGTGTGTGTGTGTGTGTGTGTGTGTGTGTGTGTAAGCCGAAGAGACGATCTGGCCCACTCTTAGAGAAGTATACGGTCCCGGTGATAACAGGATGTACGGTCGCTCTACAAATGATTTAAAGAAATATTGCATAAATCATAAAAGGAAGCCCCTTAATCTGTTTACCATGTCACGTCATATGTGGTCGGCTATTAAGAAAGAACCATGTTTACTGTTAGTGCCGTAAAATTTGGTAAGGACGCTCAAGGGACATTTACCTCCAGGTTCCGGCGCCTATGTAATTGTGACAGGTGGACAAATGATGGGAGTACACCGGCTAAAGACGTCTGCTCGGGGAGGTGTTCGTGACAGTATAATTGTTAACTTATCTGCAGTTTACAATATTAAAGCTAATAATTTATGATGGAATAGTAAATAATTTTACACTCAATCGTGTTTATATTATGTCAGTTACTTTACAGTTACTGAACTTCTAAGAAAGACAAATGCTTCAACATTTACAACAATTACTGGCTAATACAAAATGGCGCAGCCCAAGTTTACGTTGGTGGTTCTGTGGCTGATGTGTGTCCCCGGTTTCTGCTGGGATTCTGGAGATTTGGAGCTGTTTGATCTTATCGAGGAAATCAACGAAAATTTTTATCAAGTGTTTGGCATCGATCAGGTAAAAGACCGCAATAAATTCAAAATTGTGACAATCATAACCAGTAGTGTAATACAGTAATACTAATAATAATAATATCGCTACTGTGTGTGTATAAGTTTTTTCAGTTAACCCTCCCCGGTTCTCCTTGCAATAACGGTCACTACTTGGACGGCGACGGCCGCTTAGTCGGAGTTCAGTCCCCTGGCTGCAGTGCAATTACGGAGTGGACAAGACACGAATCACAAAACACAGTGAGTTCATCATGGCGCTGCGACTCACATAACCCAAACCGGTGCTTCTTTGAATCGTTCCCCAAAATGGCGGCTTTAATATGATGGCGTTCAAAAAGGAGCTAAATTGGCCAATTTCTGGCCATAAAATATCCAAAAATATCCAAATGCGGGGTCAGTTCTATTAAAAATATATGTGCCGGCTGCGGATAACGAAACAAATGCCCTGACAGGGTCTCGGCGATACGTTGCTTGCCGACCTGCTTCTGCGAGTGTGCCTCATCGCCGAGCGAATCCCCCGCGCCGCTACGCGCGGCGCAGATGGCGGCTAAACTAGATGGCTGGGACTCACGAGTGGCAGCTACCGCATCTCCTGCAACATCCTCCAATTACTGTACTCGTGAGTCCCAGGCACCTAGATACGCTCGGCGATGAGTTTAATTTTAATCGCGTTTTGCGCATGCCAACAAGTCTGACATCTACCGCTGCTAAATCCTCCAATCGGAAGAACACAGTATTGCTAATCGTTTTCATTGTCTGTAATGTCTCGAAATTGGTCAAAGGTCGCTAATATCGTCTGCTAGTATCGTCGTCGCAGAAACACTCTAAATTTTTGTCAACGGTCGGTATTTATCGTATGCTACTAGTACCGTGTGCAATGTTGATAGTGATTGTCAAGTAATCCTAGTTTTGCCGCGATTTGTCCCCTGGCAGACAGTCCGTATTTTAGATATACGGGAACACCGTCGTTCGGATAATTTTGGATATTTTATGGCCAGAATGTGGCATGCCACCATTTTGAGGAATGGATCACAGGAGTGCCCCCAAACCCTAACCCTACCCCTAGCCCTAATTATGTCATTTGTGTCGTTCCCTTTTTTCCACTCCGTAATTGCACTGCAGCCAGGGGACTGAACTCCGACTAAGTGGCCGTCGCCGTCCAACTAGCGACCGTTATTGCAAGAAGAGCCCCCTCCCCTCCCCCCATCCCCACACCCCATAAGCGCCAATTAAACCATTAGCGGTTTCATCAGATCTGTTCCACATGAGACTAAATACGTGTTTGTTAAAGGCATAGCTGTGTACGTGGCTGCCCTGTCTTGTGAGTTTTGTCTGCCTCCAGACATCCAGTCTTATGACCAGTAACAACAGTAACTAATAACTAACTGATCCTGGCACCAAGCAGGGTCCATGCCACGAAGCAGGGTCCATACCACCAAGCAGGGTCCATGCCACCAAGCAGGGTCCATGCCACCAAGCAGAGTCCATGCCACCAAGCAGGGTCCATGCCACCAAGCAGGGTCCATACCACCAAGCAGGGTCCATGCCACCAAGCAGAGTCCATGCCACCAAGCAGGGTCCATACCACCAAGCAGGGTCCATGCCACCAAGCAGGGTCCATGCCACCAAGCAGGGTCCATGCCACCAAGCAGGGTCCATGCCACCAAGCAGGGTCCATGCTGATGATAATGATCTATGTTTTGTTGTGATTATCTTTCTTTAGAAGCCTCTTTCCCACTTGTTTATGTTAGTTTTTTTTCCCTTCAGTATTTTAGCTCCCAACTAGAAAACCATTAGATGTCAAATCATCTCATTCAGTTCCACCTGTTATAGTTATCCTGTGCCTGTCCTATGTGGCTAAGGTGATTGTTGTAGTCAGTCCACTGGTGAATATTTACACTGAAGCATTAAGTGTTTGGCGTTCACCTGTTTTATGGTAAGCCTTGCCAGATGGCATTGACATTTCCTTGTGTTACCACTTTTCATTTCATGCAACCCCCTTACAATTACCTGGCACTTATGTTAAAACCCTGGATTGACCACCAAGTGTTATTGATGATGAGAAAATATTCTTGCTAAGGATTTATTCCTGGACACAGCGGCTGATGTGATTAGCTCCTCCTGTGTTTGCCTTATCCTGTGTCTTTCATTTAAAAAAAGAAAATAAAGATTGCCTGCTTTTTTTTGTTTTTTTTTAAATCTCCATTTGTATCATTTCTCTATGTCTAGCTTCACTGGAATCTCTCCAGTTCTCATCATCAACACCATACTAGTGGTTCTGTTGCAGCATCCCAGGGCTGCTGTGCAGTACATTTATTAATCCAGGGCACACAATTAGAATAGATGGCAGACAGTGTTCTTCTTGTCTTTGTAACATTTCACTCATGACCTGTTTTGGTTCACAAATTTACATGACTGCAAAACAACTAGACAAGAAAACAAATATTAACTAGCCATATAAGATACTAGTCACTCTTGTATTTACAGACTATTATTTGTCTGTATGAACAATGATCAAGTTCTGTTTTTCCCCACGGCAGTCAGCTTCAAGTTCTGATGTTCGTAAAGCCTACAGACGGTTGTCACTTCAATATCATCCCGACAAAAATGATGCTGATAATGCAGAAGAACAGTTTCGACAGGTAACACTTTAGTTGTCAGTTCTCAACACTTACCTGGCACTTCAGAGTTATTACATTTGATGAGTTTAGTTGGTGAAATGTAAAAAGGGTTAATGACTCCTTATTTATAGTTGATTATTTTCAGTTTCCAATGGTTAAAGGATTTTTAATCTATGCAACACACGTACAGATGTCCTTTGTCCTTGTCACAGGTCAGAAGATGTTTGAATCATTATGCTATGATCAGGGGCAGACAGTGGTGAGAGAGAGAGAGAGAGAGGTATGCCACTAGCCTTGCCTTACTTTGTACAAACCCGGGCTATCCACCTGGGGAACCATGTAAGTTCTGCTTGAATCAGAGGTCAACTTCTCACTGACTTTGCCCTGTTTTATGTTCAGGAATTCAAAAATAACCTTGGCTCCCAGGTCGACCCAGCCTTGAGTGGGTACCGGGTGCAGTCTCGGGAAGTAAAGGCGGTCGGCGTGATACTGACCACATCACCCATCTTGTGCCGATTGGTCTATAAAATATAGATCTAGCCCTATATGCCCTATAGGCCTACAGGCGTGGAAAAAGTCTTTTACTTGTTTTTTAAACTTGTAATTTATAAGAGAATAAGGAAATAGATTCACTGGGTAAAGTTGTTACAAGTGGGAAGATACTAGACAAATATTGGTTGGAAACAAAGGCTCAGGACAAATGTGGTTAAAGATTGTTCCCAATGCAAGCTTTGTTGCGATACTGACACCAGTCTGTTAGTGCCTATACTGGAAGACTGAGCCCTCCATGATACTGACTGTAGTTTTGTCCTGACTGTGAGTGTAATACAACAGTGTCATCCTTGACTGTTCCCAGATTGTGGCTGTTTATGAGGTGCTTAAAGATGAGAAGAAGAGAGAAAGGTAGGTAGCATCTTCTGATTTTAGATGATAATTATTTAGTAATACTAATTATACTCACATTTGATGGAACAACTTTTTTTTTTTTTAATTGATAGTAGTACATAGTCACAGGAATATGAGAAGTACAATCATTGCTAGAGACAACATTGATAGTAGTACATAGTCACAGGAATATGAAAACTACAATCATTGCTAGAGACAACATTGATAGTAGTACATAGTCACAGGAATATGAGAAGTACAATCATTGCTAGAGACAACATTGATAGTAGTACATAGTCACAGGAATATGAGAAGTACAATCATTGCTAGAGACAACATTGATAGTAGTACATAGTCACAGGAATATGAAAACTACAATCATTGCTAGAGACAACATTGATAGTAGTACATAGTCACAGGAATATGAGAAGTACAATCATTGCTAGAGACAACATTGATAGTAGTACATAGTCACAGGAATATGAGAAGTACAATCATTGCTAGAGACAACATTGATAGTAGTACATAGTCACAGGAATATGAGAAGTACAATCATTGCTAGAGACAACATTGATAGTAGTACATAGTCACAGGAATATGAGAAGTACAATCATTGCTAGAGACAACATTGATAGTAGTACATAGTCACAGGAATATGAAAAGTACAATCATTGCTAGAGACAACATTGATAGTAGTACATAGTCACAGGAATATGAGAAGTACAATCATTGCTAGAGACAACATTGATAGTAGTACATAGTCACAGGAATATGAGAAGTACAATCATTGCTAGAGACAACATTGATAGTAGTACATAGTCACAGGAATATGAGAAGTACAATCATTGCTAGAGACAACATTGATAGTAGTACATAGTCACAGGAATATGAGAAGTACAATCATTGCTAGAGACAACATTGATAGTAGTACATAGTCACAGGAATATGAAAAGTACAATCATTGCTAGAGACAACATTGATAGTAGTACATAGTCACAGGAATATGAAAAGTACAATCATTGCTAGAGACAACATTGATAGTAGTACATAGTCACAGGAATATGAAAAGTACAATCATTGCTAGAGACAACATTGATAGTAGTACATAGTCACAGGAATATGAAAAGTACAATCATTGCTAGAGACAACATTGATAGTAGTACATAGTCACAGGAATATGAAAAGTACAATCATTGCTAGAGACAACATTGATAGTAGTACATAGTCACAGGAATATGAAAAGTACAATCATTGCTAGAGACAACATTGATATTGAAAAAAAAAAGGATCAAACAGAACATAGAAAAACGGCACTTTTTTGTGCCTGTGATCGCACACACACACACACACACACACACCCACACATGCACCCACACCTACCCACACGCACCCACACCTACCCACCCACACACACACCCACACCTACCCACACACACACACCCACACTTACCCACACACACACACGCACCCACACCTACCCACACACACACCCACACCTACCCACACACACATGCACCCACACCTACCCACAGAGAGAGAGAGAAAGAGAGAGAGAGAACCAGTTCAGGGGGAAACCAATAAAGACCCACTGCTTTCTGAACAGGTATGTTGTAAAATGTCAGGATGCCATGTTGTCTGCTCGGTCCTTGGCTGTTGTTTAGAGGTTTACTCTGATGATATGACTGACACTTTATGATGACACAGATGTTATGAGTAGACACCATCTCCAATATATATATATTTATTAACATTTGAGCACTTACAAAATATGTCCAGTCCAAGTCCTACTTAACAAGTACAGCATTCGAGCACCACATTGTTAAGACACCAATACATTGAATCGTGACACATTCACACTCTTGAGTTCTTCGTCTTCACTTCAACATCTCCGCATGGGTGACTACGGTCATTACATTCATGGTTTCCCGCAACTTAGTCGGGTGGACTTCACTTTGATGAATGTTGTAGTCGAGTCGTCATCTTGAAGTAGTCAGTTTCATGTTGACAAGGATTCTTCCCATTCATACTGGATCACAAACACACCCTCTCGTTCCAACGGTCCAACACAAATGTCTGATTAGACCTTTGTCTAATCTTATAACCTTGTGCTGGGTTTCACGTGGCTTCACGTGTTCGTCTACCCTGTTCAAGTACCTCGTGTTTCTACGAGTATTTGCGTTATCCCGTTTTTCTGTCGTATCTCAAGGTTTCCCCCTACCTTCTTAATCAGGGAGTCCCCCTGTGAAAATATCCCACATTGCAAAGGAATTAGAGGGGTTTTTCTTTCACAGTTAGAGTGCATCTGCTAGATAGGGGAGCAACCAACAGTCTGCATGCAAAAAAGCCAGAATTGTAAAATGATAATGCACACAAAACTCAAGTTTTAGAATATAGTCCAGAAGTAGAGGAAAAACCTGGACTTTCTGCCAGTTCATAGCCAGTGAACTCTAAAGAGAAGAATTAGGCAGTAGCAGAAGTCATCAGATAGCAAGGATATCAACACTTAACTTGTCTGGGGGAGTCAGTTTGGACCAGATTACTTGAGCAACTTTGAGAGCATCATTATTATTTCCTTGTTCCATTACATGCTCAAGCTAGACTTCAACCTTGATTACTTTTTCTGAATCATCTGTCCTGGACAACACATTCTGAATCTGTTGTCTGTTCTAGGTAAGCTGTGTTGATTCTGAAATCCTCTTAGCAATGTTCTTTGATTATCATAATACATGGACTTTATTAAATCACTGTAAATAATTTGTAGCCGACAATGGGCACAGTTAAGCTTCCGAATAGTAACATAAGCTATTCGTAGATATACTCTGGGAATATCCTGTTAATTTCCAACATGTCATGGCAGAGTATTTCAATGCACTCTGTACATCTTTTTTTTTTAAAGAGTTCTCTCATCTTTCTGTTATTTTTCTTTGGCACTTTCTTCTTATTTTACTGTTATCCTTCTTTAGAGCTCTTTTGCATCTATCTCTTATCCTTGTTTAGAGCTTTCTTCGCATCCTTCTGTTATCCTTGTTTAGAGCTTTCTTCTCATCCTTCTGTTATCCTTGTTTAGAGCTTTCTTCTCATCTGTCTGTTATCCTTGTTTAGAGCTTTCTTCTCATCCTTCTGTTATCCTTGTTTAGAGCTTTCTTCTCATCCTTCTGTTATCCTTGTTTAGAGCTTTCTTCTCATCCTTCTGTTATCCTTGTTTAGAGCTTTCTTCGCATCCTTCTGTTATCCTTGTTTAGAGCTTTCTTCTCATCTTTCTGTTATCCTTGTTTAGAGCTTTCTTCTCATCCTTCAGTTATCCTTGTTTAGAGCTTTCTTCTCATCTGTCTGTTATCCTTGTTTAGAGCTTTCTTCTCATCCTTCTGTTATCCTTGTTTAGAGCTTTTTTCTCATCCTTCTGTTATCCTTGTTTAGAGCTTTCTTCTCATCTGTCTGTTATCCTTGTTTAGAGCTTTCTTCTCATCCTTCTGTTATCCTTGTTTAGAGCTTTCTTCTCATCCTTCTGTTATCCTTGTTTAGAGCTTTCTTCTCATCCTTCTGTTATCCTTGTTAAGAGCTTTCTTCTCATCCTTCTGTTATCCTTGTTTAGAGCTTTCTTCTCATCCTTCAGTTATCCTTGTTTAGAGCTTTCTTCTCATCCTTATGTTATCCTTGTTTAGAGCTTTCTTCTCATCCTTCAGTTATCCTTGTTTAGAGCTTTCTTCTCATCCTTCTGTTATCCTTGTTTAGAGCTTTCTTCTCATCCTTCTGTTATCCTTGTTTAGAGCTTTCTTCTCATCCTTTAGTTATCCTTGTTTAGAGCTTTCTTCTCATCCTTCTGTTATCCTTGTTTAGAGCTTTCTTCTCATCCTTCTGTTATCCTTGTTTAGAGCTTTCTTCTCATCCTTCTGTTATCCTTGTTTAAAGCTTTCTTGCCATCCTTTAGTTATCCTTGTTTAGAGCTTTCTTCTCATCCTTCTGTTATCCTTATTTTAACATTTACTCCAACAGATACAATCAGGTTTTGGTTGAGGGCCTGCCAGACTGGCGCCAGCCGGTGTATTACTACAGACGAGCACGGAAGATGGGAATATTTGAACTGGGCATTGTCCTGTCCATCATCATCACCATTGGACAGTATTTTGTGGCCTGGGCTGTTTACGTTGAAAAACGTCTCGTTTTGGTCAGTGTTTTGAGTTTTGTTTTTAAACAAACTATAGCTGTTCTACCTTTCTTGACTTAAGACATAACTGTTTTGTTTGTTTTCAGATGATGAATTGTATTTTAGTGTCTTTTGAGACATTCATCATCATCAGAAGCCTATTGTACCATTAGGTGTCACATAGGGCTCACAGTTTATTCATCCATTCCACTCAGTGCTGTGCATTTGTTTCGGTATCATGGATAGAATCTGGACCATCACCCCTGGCCTGCCTCGTCAACATTGACCTCCGGGTTTCTTGTGGATGCCCATTCCTTGTTTCAACTGGTTTCCCACGGTTTGCTGATTTCGCTCTTCCTCAAAATGTTCCCAGTCTATCTCCATCTTCTTTTCTCTTATACCTGTTGATACCAGTGGTAAGCCAGAAAGTGTTCATATTACAAAGATGTTATCACATTCATGTTATGCAACCTACCTTTATGGGCAAACACAAAATTTAAAATATAAATGTTACAACAGAACTACATCAGATTGAAACATTGTGGTGACAGCTTTTAAATAAATAGCAGACTCAGTAACACTGAGGAACCTACTACATATTTGTCTTCAGACTTTCATTGGATGGACAAACTGTATAGTTGTCCTTAGACTACCAGAAAATGAATATTTGTCTTCATTCTGCTTGTGGATGGACAAACTGTATAGTTGTCCTTAGACTACCAGAAAATGAACATTTGTCTTCATTCTGCTTGTGGATGGACAAACTGTATATTATTTGTCCTTAGTCTACCAGAAAATGAACATTTATCTTCATTCTTGTGCTAGATGGACAAACTGTATATTATTTGTCTTAGTCTACCAGAAAATGTACATTTATCTTCATTCTGGTGCTAGCAGGACAAACTGTATATTATTTTTTTTTTAATCTACCAGAAAATGAACATTTGTAATTATTCTGCTAATGGTGGATGAAAAAAGGCAGCACATAGAAGCATGACAGATAAACCAGCATTGAGAATAAATAAGCTAATTGACCAACAGACACACAAATAAATGATGATAAACACAAATCAATGTAATTATATATAGATTTATGAAAAGTTTAAATAATTTCAGGAAGAAGTTGTCAACTCAAAGAAAAAGAAGAAAAAGAAAAAACAGACAGCATTGGACGATGCAGTAAATGATGACGACGAATTGAATTCCATACCCACCCCACATCTGCTAGATTTATGGCCATTTCGGCTGTCTGCATTTATATTTTTTACAGGTGAGTTGGTCAGTCTGATTCTTACACACCTGGTAGTTATATTCATTTTTATACAACTAAATGACTGTAATTAATTTATTATGGCACAGGTTTGTTTCAGTCATGCTCATACGTAAGCATATTTTGTCTTATTGGAGCAAGGGTATGCAACGCAACACACTCCTAGTGTCACCTAGCCTCTCTTGCTCCAGCCTGCCTCACCTTCACATGGTGGACCTGGGTCCTGTTCTCCCCCATAATCCTGTGAAGGTTGGGGTTTCAAACCCTAGTGGGAAACTAGATGGGACAGCTAATGAGGTAAAAACTAAATCTGGTTCCGTAGGCAGTTATGAGCTGGATGCTGTAACACTGTGAGTTGTGGATTTCATGTAGAATGTAACTTTTCTGTGGTTTCAGTGATTTTTGTTGCGAATCCCAGAGGGCTGGTTGCTACTGAAATGGCGGTTTACCTCCTGCAGTTATGCATGTACACCTGCTGGTGTGTCGTGACTGCTGCTTTCATCTTTGATCTAGTCTTAATTGTCGCATAAATAAAGTAATTATGGGTGACTGGTTTGCCATGAAATTGAAACCTTGACTGATAACCGATATTTAATCGTGCCTATTATATGTCGAATAAAAGTTTTCCAGCCTTGTTCAGAAATGTAATCTGTGAATCTCACACACGAGTTCATAGATCATTTAAATACAGGTGTAAAAAAACATTCGGTTATCATTTTCTAGGAAGTTCAGATGTAAAAGAAACAGGTCACTGAAGGAGAAAATGAATGGATGATGCTGAAGACATTTTTCATTCTCACAGAATGACAAATAGCCCTGGTCACCCATCAAGCTTTGGAGCACTAACTGTTGCTCTTCACTTTGTTTGCATACAGAAGTTGAAGAAGAGGATGATAGTGATGAACATGTTCTTGTTCCTTAGATTTATTAGCTTTGCAAGCATACAATACAGCTAGGTGGTAGTGGATTCACTGTCTAGCCATCTTAGATAATGGTGAAAACAAGTGGAAGGATATGGTGATGGTTTAATATTTCCTGGCAACTGTTTATTGCAAAGGGTGGGATCAACAACGTCATATTTATAGTTGACAGTGCTAGGTAGATTACTTGCTAGAAGTCTCTAAAATAGAAATGTCATATATCTCAACCTGCCCCACTGGTTGGAGAGATTAAAATGTTATATTTCTTAACCTGCCCCACTGGTTGGAGAGATAAAAATGTTATATTTCCTAACATGCATGCACCACTGGTAGAGAGATAAAAATGTTATATTTCTCAGAATTCACAACCACTACTGGAGAGATGAAAATGTGATATTTCTCAGCATGCTTGACCATCTGACATATACTATTAGAATTGTCAACATGTTCCACTAGTGGAGAGATAGAAATATTGCTATTTTTACATGCCGCAATAATGGAAAAAATGGAAATAGTAGAATTGTCAGTATGAGCAACAAGTGAAAAGTTAGAAATAGGTGGAGTAGATTACAGTGGCACACTTATTTAAATACTTTTCTTTTAGTTTATTGGTTGCTGCATTTTTGGTTTTATAGTACATAGTATGTGTTGACTCTGTCTTGGTTGTATAGTACGTGATATGTGTTGACTTTGTCTTGGTTTTATAGTACGTGATATGTGTTGACTCTGTCTTGGCTTTATAGTACGTGATATGTGTTGACTTTGTCTTGGTTTTATAGTACATAATATGTGTTGACTCTGTCTTGGTTGTATAGTACATGATATGTGTTGACTTTGTCTTGGTTTTATAGTACATGATATGTGTTGACTTTGTCTTGGTTGTATAGTACATAATATGTGTTGACTCTGTCTTGGTTTTATAGTACATGATATGTGTTGACTTTGTCTTGGTTGTATAGTACATAATATGTGTTGACTTTGTCTTGGTTGTATAGTACATAATATGTGTTGACTCTGTCTTGGTTGTATAGTACATAATATGTGTTGACTCTGTCTTGGTTGTATAGTACATAATATGTATTGACTCTGTCTTGGTTGTATAGTACATAATATGTGTTGACTCTGTCTTGGTTGTATAGTACATAATATGTGTTGACTCTGTCTTAGTTGTATAGTACATGATATATGTTGACTCTGTCTTGGTTGTATAGTATGTGATATGTGTTGACTCTTGTCTTGGTTTTATAGTACGTGATATGTGTTGACTTTGTCTTGGTTTTATAGTACATGATATGTGTTGACTTTGTTTTGTTTTTATAGTACGTGATGTGTGTTGACTTTGTCTTGGCTTTATAGTACATATGTGTTGACTCTGTCTTGGTTGTATAGTAGGAGATATGTGTTGACTCTGTCTTGGTTTTATAGTACGTGATATGTGTTGACTTTGTCTTGGTTTTATAGTATATGATATGTGTTGACTTTGTCTTGGTTTTATAGTACATATGTGTTGACTCTGTCTTGGTTGTAAAGTAGGTGATATGTGTTGACTCTGTCTTGGTTTTATAGTACGTGATATGTGTTGACTTTGTCTTGGTTTTATAGTACATGATATGTGTTGACTTTGTTTTGTTTTTATAGTACGTGATGTGTGTTGACTTTGTCTTGGCTTTATAGTACATATGTGTTGACTCTGTCTTGGTTGTATAGTAGGTGATATGTGTTGACTCTGTCTTGGTTTTATAGTACGTGATATGTGTTGACTTTGTCTTGGTTTTATAGTACGTGATATGTGTTGACTTTGTCTTGGTTTTATAGTACATGATATGTGTTGACTTTGTTTTGTTTTTATAGTACGTGATATGTGTTGACTCTGTCTTGGTTTTATAGTACGTGATATGTGTTGACTCTGTCTTGGTTTTATAGTACATATGTGTTGACTCTGTCTTGGTTGTATAGTACGTGATATGTGTTGACTCTGTCTTGGTTGTATAGTACGTGATATGTGTTGACTCTGTCTTGGTTTTATAGTACGTGATATGTGTTGACTCTGTCTTGGTTTTATAGTACGTGATATGTGTTGACTCTGTCTTGGTTGTATAGTACGTGATATGTGTTGACTCTGTCTTGGTTGTATAGTACATAATATGTGTTGACTCTGTCTTGGTTTTATAGTACATGATATGTGTTGACTTTGTCTTGGTTGTATAGTACATAATATGTGTTGACTCTGTCTTGGTTGTATAGTACATAATATGTGTTGACTCTGTCTTGGTTGTATAGTACATAATATGTATTGACTCTGTCTTGGTTGTATAGTACATAATTGTGTTGACTCTGTCTTGGTTGTATAGTACATAATATGTGTTGACTCTGTCTTGGTTGTATAGTACATGATATGTGTTGACTCTGTCTTGGTTGTATAGTATGTGATATGTGTTGACTCTGTCTTGGTTGTATAGTACGTGATATGTGTTGACTCTGTCTTGGTTGTATAGTATATGATATGTGTTGACTTTGTCTTGGTTTTATAGTACATATGTGTTGACTCTGTCTTGGTTGTATAGTAGGTGATATGTGTTGACTCTGTCTTGGTTTTATAGTACGTGATATGTGTTGACTTTGTCTTGGTTTTATAGTACATGATATGTGTTGACTTTGTTTTGTTTTTATAGTACGTGATGTGTGTTGACTTTGTCTTGGCTTTATAGTACATATGTGTTGACTCTGTCTTTGTTGTATAGTAGGTGATATGTGTTGACTCTGTCTTGGTTTTATAGTACGTGATATGTGTTGACTTTGTCTTGGTTTTATAGTACGTGATATGTGTTGACTTTGTCTTGGTTTTATAGTACATGATATGTGTTGACTTTGTTTTGTTTTTATAGCACGTGATATGTGTTGACTCTGTCTTGGTTTTATAGTACGTGATATGTGTTGACTCTGTCTTGGTTTTATAGTACATATGTGTTGACTCTGTCTTGGTTGTATAGTACGTGATATGTGTTGACTCTGTCTTGGTTGTATAGTACGTGATATGTGTTGACTCTGTCTTGGTTGTATAGTACGTGATATGTGTTGACTCTGTCTTGGTTGTATAGTACATGATATGTGTTGACTCTGTCTTGGTTTTATAGTACATATGTGTTGACTCTGTCTTGGTTGTATAGTACGTGATATGTGTTGACTCTGTCTTGGTTGTATAGTACGTGATATGTGTTGACTCTGTCTTGGTTGTATAGTACGTGATATGTGTTGACTCTGTCTTGGTTGTATAGTACGTGATATGTGTTGACTCTGTCTTGGTTGTATAGTACATGATATGTGTTGACTCTGTCTTGGTTGTATAGTACATGATATGTGTTGACTCTGTCTTGGTTGTATAGTACATGATATGTGTTGACTTTGTCTTGGTTTTATAGTACGTGATGTGTGTTGACTTTGTCTTGGCTTTATAGTACATGATATGTGTTGACTTTGTCTTGGTTTTATAGTACGTGATATGTGTTGACTCTGTCTTGGTTTTATAGTACATGATATGTGTTGACTTTGTCTTGGTTTTATAGTACATGATATGTGTTGACTTTGTCTTGGTTTTATATTACGTGATGTGTGTTGACTTTGTCTTGGCTTTATAGTACGTGATATGTGTTGACTTTGTCTTGGTTGTATAGTACATGATATGTGTTGACTCTGTCTTGGTTGTATAGTAGGTGATATGTGTTGACTTTGTCTTGGTTTTATAATATGTGATGTGTGTTCACTCTGTCTTGGTTTTATAGTACATGATATGTGTTGACTCTGTCTTGGTTTTATAGTAGGTGATATGTGTTGACTTTGTCTTAGTTTTATAGTAGGTGATATGTGTTGACTTTGTCTTGGTTTTATAATATGTGATATGTGTTGAATTTGTCTTGGTTTTATAGTACGTGATATGTGTTGACTCTGTCTTGGTTTTATAGTATGTGATATGTGTTGACTCTGTCTTGGTTTTATAGTATGTGATATGTGTTGACTTTGTCTTGGTTTTATAGTATGTGGTATGTGTTGACTCTGTCTTGGTTTTATAGTATGTGATATGTGTTGACTTTGTCTTGGTTTTATAGTACATGATATGTGTTGACTTTGTCTTGGTTTTATAGTACATGATATGTGTTGACTTTGTCTTGGTTTTATAGTACATATGTGTTGACTCTGTCTTGGTTGTATAGTACGTGATGTGTGTTGACTTTGTCTTGGTTTTATAGTACATGATGTGTGTTGACTTTGTCTTGGTTTTATAGTACGTGATGTGTGTTGACTTTGTCTTGGTTTTATAGTACTTGATATGTGTTGACTCTGTCTTGGTTGTATAGTACATGATATGTGTTGACTCTGTCTTGGTTGTATAGTAGGTGATATGTGTTGACTTTGTCTTGGTTTTAAAATATGTGTTGACTCTGGTTGTATAGTACATGATATGTGTTGACTCTGTCTTGGTTGTATAGTACATGATATGTGTTGACTCTGTCTTGGTTGTATAGTAGGTGATATGTGTTGACTTTGTCTTGGTTTTATAATATGTGATGTGTGTTGACTCTGTCTTGGTTTTATAGTACATGATATGTGTTGACTCTGTCTTGGTTTTATAGTAGGTGATATGTGTTGACTTTGTCTTGGTTTTATAGTAGGTGATATGTGTTGACTTTGTCTTGGTTTTATAATATGTGATATGTGTTGAATTTGTCTTGGTTTTATAGTACGTGATATGTGTTGACTCTGTCTTGGTTTTATAGTATGTGATATGTGTTGACTCTGTCTTGGTTTTATAGTATGTGATATGTGTTGACTTTGTCTTGGTTTTATAGTATGTGATATGTGTTGACTCTGTCTTGGTTTTATAGTATGTGATATGTGTTGACTTTGTCTTGGTTTTATAGTACATGATATGTGTTGACTTTGTCTTGGTTTTATAGTACATGATATGTGTTGACTTTGTCTTGGTTTTATAGTACATATGTGTTGACTCTGTCTTGGTTGTATAGTACGTGATGTGTGTTGACTTTGTCTTGGTTTTATAGTACGTGATGTGTGTTGACTTTGTCTTGGTTTTATAGTACGTGATGTGTGTTGACTTTGTCTTGGTTTTATAGTACGTGATATGTGTTGACTCTGTCTTGGTTGTATAGTACATGATATGTGTTGACTCTGTCTTGGTTGTATAGTAGGTGATATGTGTTGACTTTGTCTTGGTTTTATAATATGTGTTGACTCTGGTTGTATAGTACATGATATGTGTTGACTCTGTCTTGGCTTTATAGTACGTGATATGTGTTGACTTTGTCTTGGTTTTATAGTACATAATATGTGTTGACTCTGTCTTGGTTATATAGTACATAATATGTGTTGACTCTGTCTTGGTTGTATAGTACATGATATGTGTTGACTCTGTCTTGGTTGTATAGTATGTGATATGTGTTGACTCTGTCTTGGTTTTATAGTACGTGATATGTGTTGACTCTGTCTTGGTTGTATAGTACGTGATATGTGTTGACTTTGTCTTGGTTTTATAGTACGTGATATGTGTTGACTCTGTCTTGGTTGTATAGTACATGATATGTGTTGACTCTGTCTTGGTTTTATAGTATGTGATATGTGTTGACTTTGTCTTGGTTTTATAGTACATGATATGTGTTGACTCTCTCTTGGTTGTATAGTACATAATATGTGTTGACTCTGTCTTGGATATGTTTATTGTTGTATATGTGTTGTTGACTCTGTCTTGGTTTATAGTATGTGATATGTGTTGACTTTGTCTTGGTTGTATAGTACTTGATATGTTTATAGTATGTTGACTTTGTCTTGGTTTTATAGTATGTGATATGTGTTGACTCTGTCTTGGCTTTATATATGTGTGTGTTGACTCTGTCTTGGTTGTATATATGTGATATGTGTGACTCTGTCTTGGTTTAGTACTTGATATGTGTCTTGGTACATAATGTATGGTTTTATAGTACGTGATATGTGTTGACTTTGTCTTGGTTGTATAGTACGTGATATGTGTTGACTCTGTCTTGGTTGTATAGTAGGTGATATGTGTTGACTTTGTCTTGGTTTTATAGTATGTGATATGTGTTGACTCTGGTTTTATAGTACGTGATATGTATTGACTGTCTTGGCTTTATAATATGTGATATGTGTTGACTCTGTCTCGGTTTTATAGTACGTGATATGCCTGAAACTGTAAGGCACTGGCAGGAAGAGAGAAAGAGAAGAAAAGAAGAGGAAGAGGCTAGAGCCCTAGAAGAAGAGGAAGAAGATTCATCAGAAGGTGAGTTTATATGTATGCAAGTCGTTTTTTTTCTTTTGGTACTTAGGCTGTTCATGTGTGCTTAACTCACACCGTCATCACATCTACAAATCTAGGTGATTGTGTTTTTAGCATTTTCTCTGGTTAATGAAACTATGCACCAGTCATCATATCTATAAGTCTGGGTTTGTGTGTTTTTAACATTTCCTCTGGTTAATGAAACTATGCACCAGTCATCACATCTATAAGTCTAGGTTTGTGTGTTAACATTTTCTCTGGTTAATGAACCTATGCAGCAGTCATCACATCTATAAGTCTGGGTTTGTGTGTTTTTAACATTTTCTCTGGGTAATGAACCTGCATCATTAATACACCTACAAGGATATAGTTCTGTTGTACAGGCCATGCCAGCGTACATTGACTTGGTGCCCAAAATACATCAAGCTGACAACCGTAAGTGTCCAGTTATCTTTGACATTTTTTGTCCTGTTGATCTTATTTCAGAATGTTCCTATAAGTGTTTGCCCGCCTCTGGTCACAGATCTTGCTTGCTCAAGCACAATATGACTGACAGTTTCGATTCATTTAGTTCTCCTGCACTTCTTCTTGGCATTCGCTGGCTGTAAACTCCTGCTGTACACTCCTGCTGTACACCCCTGCTGTGAACTCCTGCTGTACACCCCTGCTGTGAACTCCTGCTGTAAACTCTTGCTGTACACCCCTGCTGTGAACTCCTGCTGTACACCCCTGCTGTGAACTCCTGCTGTACACCCCTGCTGTGAACTCCTGCTGTACACCCCTGCTGTGAACTCCTGCTGTACACCCCTGCTGTGAACTCCTGCTGTACACCCCTGCTGTGAACTCCTGCTGTACACTCTTGCTGTACACCCCTGCTGTACACTCCTGCTGTACACTCCTGCTGTACACTCCTGCTGTACACCCCTGCTGTACACTCCTTCTGTACACCCCTGCTGTACACCCCTGCTGTACACCCCTGCTGTACACTCCTGCTGTACACCCCTGCTGTACACCCCTTCTGTACACCCCTGCTGTACACTCCTGTTGTACACCCCTGCTGTACACTCCTGCTGTACACCCCTGCTGTACACCCCTGCTGTGAACTCCTGCTGTACACTCCTGCTGTACACCCCTGCTGTACACTCCTGCTGTACACTCCTGCTGTACACTCCTGCTGTACACTCCTGCTGTACACTCCTGCTGTACACCCCTGCTGTACACCCCTGCTGTACACCCCTGCTGTACACTCCTGCTGTACACTCCTGCTGTACACCCCTGCTGTACACCCCTGCTGTACACTCTTGCTGTACACCCCTGCTGTACACTCTTGCTGTACACCCCTGCTGTACACTCCTGCTGTACACCCCTGCTGTACACCCCTGCTGTACACTCTTGCTGTACACCCCTGCTGTACACTCTTGCTGTACACCCCTGCTGTACACTCTTGCTGTACACCCCTGCTGTACACCCCTGCTGTACACCCCTGCTGTACACTCCTGCTGTACACCCCTGCTGTACACTCTTGCTGTACACCCCTGCTGTACACTCTTGCTGTACACCCCTGCTGTACACTCCTGCTGTACACCCCTGCTGTACACCCCTGCTGTACACCCCTGCTGTACACCCCTGCTGTACACTCCTGCTGTACACTCCTGCTGTACACTCTTGCTGTACACCCCTGCTGTACACTCTTGCTGTACACCCCTGCTGTACACCCCTGCTGTGAACTCCTGCTGTACACCCCTGCTGTACACTCCTGCTGTACACCCCTGCTGTACACTCCTGCTGTACACTCCTGCTGTACACTCCTGCTGTACACCCCTGCTGTACACTCCTGCTGTACACTCCTGCTGTACACTCCTGCTGTACACCCCTGCTGTACACCCCTGCTGTACACCCCTGCTGTGAACTCCTGCTGTACACTCCTGCTGTACACTCCTGCTGTACACTCCTGCTGTACACCCCTGCTGTACACTCCTGCTGTACACCCCTGCTGTACACTCCTGCTGTACACCCCTGCTGTACACCCCTGCTGTACACTCCTGCTGTACACCCCTGCTGTACACTCCTGCTGTACACTCCTGCTGTACACCCCTGCTGTACACTCTTGCTGTACACTCCTGCTGTACACTCTTGCTGTACACTCTTGCTGTACACTCCTGCTGTACACTCTTGCTGTACACCCCTGCTGTACACTCCTGCTGTACACCCCTGCTGTACACCCCTGCTGTACACCCCTGCTGTACACCCCTGCTGTACACCCCTGCTGTACACTCCTGCTGTACACCCCTGCTGTACACTCCTGCTGTACACCCCTGCTGTACACCCCTGCTGTACACCCCTGCTGTACACTCCTGCTGTACACTCCTGCTGTACACTCCTGCTGTACACCCCTGCTGTACACTCTTGCTGTACACTCCTGCTGTACACTCCTGCTGTACATCCCTGCTGTACACTCTTGCTGTACACTCCTGCTGTACACTCTTGCTGTACACCCCTGCTGTACACTCTTGCTGTACACTCCTGCTGTACACTCCTGCTGTACACCCCTGCTGTACACCCCTGCTGTACACCCCTGCTGTACACCCCTGCTGTACACCCCTGCTGTACACTCCTGCTGTACACTCCTGCTGTACACTCCTGCTGTACACCCCTGCTGTACACCCCTGCTGTACACTCCTGCTGTACACTCCTGCTGTACACCCCTGCTGTACACCCCTGCTGTACACTCCTGCTGTACACTCCTGCTGTACACCCCTGCTGTACACCCCTGCTGTACACCCCTGCTGTACACTCCTGCTGTACACTCCTGCTGTACACCCCTGCTGTACACTCCTGCTGTACACCCCTGCTGTACACCCCTGCTGTACACCCCTGCTGTACACCCCTGCTGTACACCCCTGCTGTACACTCCTGCTGTACACCCCTGCTGTACACCCCTGCTGTACACTCCTGCTGTACACTGTGGTGCAAAGTTCTTCTTGTTCATTTGCCTCTCGACTGTCTTATTCCAGAACCTGTATGTTGTTTGCACATCTGTTTTACAGATCTGGCTTTTTGTATGCAGACTGTTGGTTCCTCGCCTCAGGCAGAAGCACTCTGGCTTCAAAAGAAGCCTACATTGAATCGATTTACGACATACTTGTTGGAGAGAAAGTGGATCTGTTCTAATAGAAGTAAAAAATAAAAAGCTGAGTTGCAGATCCTGGCAGAACAACCCCAGCATTTTTTGGCTCTTGTGTTTTTTCTAGGCAAATTATTCTTTGAGTAGTTTTCTGGACCGTCGGCTTCTAATGTCACTGTTCAACTGAACGCAGGGTGGTCTGCTGCCAAATCGCCTACAGTTGGGATTGAACCCGGCACCTTGCTTGCAACGCCTAAACCAGAGACACCAACGTGTGTGTATGTACTCATAGAATAACAACCAAACAAAATCACCAACATAAAACACACGAAGAACCGTCACAGAAGAACCTCGAACAGTCTTTATTGGGTCGTATATAATTGCCTGACTGTGAGAGTTATACGTGGGTTTGTCCATGGTTTCATGCTTTCTTACTTCTGCACCAAGTTCACTTTTTCATTGCCCTCATCTGGTGTTAGTTGATTTTAATGATCCTGTGTTTTAGCTAGAATTCTAATCTTGTCTAATTATAGTTTGTTTCAAACTTAACCAATTTTGGAGCATGAGACAGAAAGGACTCTTATTAGTGTAGCAATTTACATATATTTAATGAACATAATTTGTAATTTTCATGTTTATTCTCAGCCCAACACCAGACTTTCTCACAAACTCTTGAACTAGGTACAATGATACACGTCCACAGATGCTAATATTATTTGTCTTCTGTTTATTTACAACACCAGACTTTCTCACAAACACTTGAACTAGGTACAGTGATACACATCCACAGATGCTAATATTATTTGTCTTCTGTTTATTTACAACACCAGACTTTCTCACAAACACTTGAACTAGGTACACTGATACTCGTTTACAGATGCTAATATTATTTGCCTTCTGTTTATTTAATACAGTATGAGAGGAGCTGAATGTGTTTTATATTTCTCAGAATTCGTGCGCAAACCAAAGAAAAGAGCTCCTACTGAACTCCCAGAATACACTAGTGAAATGTATGCCAAATTCTCAGCTCCCAAGGAGAGTCGGAAACATGCACAGGCTTCTGACACTGAGGGGAAGGAGTCTGCTGTAAATAGGAAGGTACTAGTTTCATTGTTGTGACAGATTAGGGAGTCTGCTGTAAATAGGAAGGTACTAGTTTCATTGTTGTGACAAATTAGGGAGTCTACTGTAAATAGGAAGGTACTAGTTTCATTGTTGTGACAGATTAGGGAGTCTGCTGTAAATAGGAAGGTACTAGTTTCATTGTTGTGACAGATTAGGGAGTCTGCTGTAAATAGGAAGGTACTAGTTTCATTGTTGTGACAGATTAGGGAGTCTGCTGTAAATAGGAAGGTACTAGTTTCATTGTTGTGACAGATCAGGGAGTCTGCTGTAAATAGGAAGGTACTAGTTTCATTGTTGTGACAGATCAGGGAGTCTGCTGTAAATAGGAAGGTACTAGTTTCATTGTTGTGACAGATTAGGGAGTCTGCTGTAAATAGGAAGGTACTAGTTTCATTGTTGTGACAGATCAAGGGAGTCTGCTGTAAATAGGAAGGTACTAGTTTAATTGTTGTGACAGATCAGGGAGTCTGCTGTAAATAGGAAGGTACTAGTTTCATTGTTGTGACAGACCAGGTGTTTCTGATGTTTAGGGATCTCTTTGATTTATTTAAACATAAGACATAAACAGGAACACAAGACATAAACAGGAACACAAGACATCAACAGGAACTCAAGACATCAACAGGAACTCAAGACATCAACAGGAACACAAGACATCAACAGTAACACAAGACATCAAACAGCAACACATGACATAAACAGGAACACAAGACATCAAACAGCAACACATGACATAAACAGGAACACAAGACATCAACAGGAAGACAAGACATAAACAGGAACACAAGACATCAACAGGAAGACAAGACATCAACAGGAAGACAAGACATCAACAGGAAGACAAGACATCAACAGGAACACAAGACATCAACAGGAACACAAGACATCAACAGGAACACAAGACATCAACAGGAACACAAGACATCAACAGGAACACAAGACATCAACAGGAAGACAAGACATCAACAGGAAGACAAGACATCGACAGGAACACAAGACATCAACAGGAACACAAGACATCAACAGGAAGACAAGACATCAACAGGAACACAAGACATCAACAGGAACACAAGACATCAACAGGAAGACAAGACATCAACAGGAAGACAAGACATCAACAGGAAGACAAGACATCAACAGGAACACAAGACATCAACAGGAAGACAAGACATCAACAGGAACACAAGACATCAACAGGAACACAAGACATCAACAGGAAGACAAGACATCAACAGGAAGACAAGACATCAACAGGAAGACAAGACATCAACAGGAACACAAGACATCAACAGGAACACAAGACATCAACAGGAACACAAGACATCAACAGGAAGACAAGACATCAACAGGAACACAAGACATCAACAGGAAGACACCGGTAAAGCTGTCAGTGGGAAATGAGTACATGCATTCCCTGTGTGGGTTCTGGAGCCTTTCTCTGGGGAAAACAGGAATAGGAGCACTGGCCCCAACAGGAATAGGAGCACTGGCCCCAACAGGAATAGGAGCACTGGCCCCAACAGGAATAGGAGCACTGGCCCCAACAGGAATAGGAGCACTGCCCCCAACAGGAATAGGAGCACTGGCCCCAACAGGAATAGGAGCACTGGCCCCCAACAGGAATAGGAGCACTGCCCCCAACAGGAATAGGAGCACTGGCCCCAACAGGAATAGGAGCACTGCCCCCAACAGGAATAGGAGCACTGGCCCCAACAGGAATAGGAGCACTGGCCCCCAACAGGAATAGGAGCACTGCCCCCAACAGGAATAGGAGCACTGGCCCCCAACAGGAATAGGAGCACTGCCCCCAACAGGAATAGGAGCACTGCCCCCAACAGGAATAGGAGCACTGCCCCCAACAGGAATAGGAGCACTGCCCCCAACAGGAATAGGAGCACTGCCCCCAACAGGAATAGGAGCACTGCCCCCAACAGGAATAGGAGCACTGCCCCCAACAGGAATAGGAGCACTGCCCCCAACAGGAATAGGAGCACTGCCCCCAACAGGAATAGGAGCACTGCCCCCAACAGGAATAGGAGCCCCCAACAGGAATAGGAGCACTGCCCCCAACAGGAATAGGAGCACTGCCCCCAACAGGAATAGGAGCACTGCCCCCAACAGGAATAGGAGCACTGCCCCCAACAGGAATAGGAGCACTGCCCCCAACAGGAATAGAAGCACTGCCCCCAACAGGAATAGAAGCACTGCCCCCAACAGGAATACTGCCCCCAACAGGAATAGGAGCACTGCCCCCAACAGGAATAGGAGCACTGCCCCCAACAGGAATAGAAGCACTGCCCCCAACAGGCACACCATAACAGGCGATTGTTTAGGGTTCTTTTCTTCCAAGTTGGAGTGCATCTGCCTGAGAGGCAAGGGATCTGTAGTCTGCATACAGATGTGTAAAATGGATGGGAATGCAAAACTCTGGAGCAAGACCAAAGACCAGAAGGGGATGAACAAACAGAACTTTCCACCACAGTGTGCAGCCGGTGAATGCAAAGAAGAATAAGTACAAGAATAACATAAAGTGGACAAGTTAACTTTTAAGTCAAAGAGAAAAAGACATCATTTTAGCAATGTTTTGAGAACAGAGAAAGTAAAACATGATGTGACAACTTGAAATATGTATAGAAAGAGAGTTAGAGGAAGACGCTGAGAAGATTCTTGAAAGTCCTTTGTCCTGCCATGGAAAAATGTCAATATAAAATTATTGGAGATAGACTATTTGTTTTCTTTGCAATTTATCATTGCTTCCCAAGTTAAAAATGGTACTGAAAGGATTGCTTCCCAAGTTAAAAATGGTACTGAAAGGGACTGAATTTGAGTTTTTGAGAAATGTTACATGGAAAGTGACTGGCAATCTGCACTGCATTCCTAAAGAAGCATTCCTTAACTGTATCCACCAGTGATTCCATGGATAGCTATTTCATATCATTTCAGGAATCTCAGAACAAGTCAGGTCTTTGTACCCCAGTTAACTTGTGTGTCCATGTAAACGTGTATCTTATTGACTTCCTCATCTGTTCCTCCTTTGAAAACAACTTCCTGTCTCAAAAGCTGAGGTACTCTGGACATGTCGAGTGCCATGGTGTAGTGGTCTGGAGAGAACGGCGATGGAGCTCGCAGTTTCCTAGAAATGAAGTATAGGCTGACCTCCATGCAGGTGGATACAGGGTGATGAAGATGTATTAGCTATAAAAGCACACGGGGTTGCTAGAGAAAGAGAGCATTTCTGGCATGCCGTGAAGAGAACAACATTCTGTAAAGGACATGTTGATTGGGTGATTTATTGATTGATTGTCCTCTCATTGATAATTTTTCATCGCATCTGCTGGTTGTCACAAAGTTTCAAAATGATTTATCAAAATAAACTTTAAAAAAAAAATTATGTCAATAATTTTTGTAATCATCAGTAACAAAATAGATTTCACATCACATCAATAATTAAAATCACCCCCTCCCCTTTTTATTCTTCCCTAATAACAATAGAAACCTCACAGCTTTCATTTCCACCTCCCCCAGTAACAGAGCAGGCATATCCTACCTATAGTGTGCTATATCAACTGTCACTGTTGACAGTAGCGACATCACAACCTGTTTATAACATACAAAGCCTACTGTTCACCGGCTGGATCTTCTTCTTCACCTACCCCAGACCAAAGCTACACCACTGTCCACATAAAGCATTGTAGAGACTATGGTCCACTTGTAACAATACAGAGAGCACAGTCCACTTGTATACAGTCCACTTGTAACATTTCAAAGACTACAGTCCACTTGTAACAGTGCAGAGACTATAATCCATTTGTAACAGTGCAGAGACCACAGTCCACTTGTAACAGTGCAGAGGCTACAGTCCACTTGTAACAGTGCAGAGATCCTAGTCCACTTATAACAGCGCAGAGACCACAGTCCACTTGTAACAGTGCAGAAACCACAGTCCACTTGTAACAGTGCAGAGACCACTGTCCACTTGTAACATTACAGAGACTACAGTTCACTTGTAACATTACAGAGACTACAGTCCACTTGTAACATTAGAGAGACCACAGTCCACTTGTAACATTAGAGAGACCACAGTCCACTTGTAACATTACAGAGACCACAGTCCACTTGTAACATTAGAGAGACCACAGTCCACTTGTAACATTAGAGAGACCACAGTCCACTTGTAACATTAGAGAGACCACAGTCCACTTGTAACATTACAGAGACCACAGTCCACTTGTAACATTACAGAGACCACAGTCCACTTGTAACATTAGAGAGACCACAGTCCACTTGTAACATTACAGGAACTACAGTCCACTTGTAACATTACAGAAACTAAAGTCCACAGGTAACAGTGCAGAGACTATAATCCACTGGTAACATTACAGAGACTACAGTCCACTTGTAACATTACAGAGACTACAGTCCACTGGTAACAGTGCAAAGACTATAATCCACTTGTAACATTACAGAGAACACAGTCCACTTGTAACAATACAGAAAACAGTCCACTTGTAACAATACAGAGACCACAGTCCACTTGTAACAATACAGAGACCATTAGATGATACAGGAGGTATCCACAGCCCTACAATTAAAAGCTCACAAATAATTATGCAAGCTCCGGTATCTTTTAACAAAATTGTTACTATATTGTTTAATAGTGATTTATTATATACACTACACACACATGTGTATTTTCTCCTGTTTGTGTTGGTCCAGGGAGAGTGGAGTGATGAGGAGCTGGTTCTCTTGTCAAAGGCTGTCAACAAGTTTCCTGGGGGATGCCACCAGCGATGGGAGAAGATTGCCGACATGGTTGGGCGGTCTGTTAGTGAGGTGAGCTTGGGGCAACACATAGGTGTTCATGTGTAGACTGTGCACCTCATATCTTCTTCCCCACATTTTTGTGTGTGTTCTTCTTTCCTCTGCCCCTTTTCATTCCCTTTCTTTTTCTCTTCTGTTTATTTTTCTTCTTTGTTACTACTGATAATGATATGTTGGGGGGAAATAAGATGTGCCCAGGTTCAGCCAGCTCCTTTATTATAGGAGTGTTGGCTTGTAACTGTGGACTGTTTTGTGTGTGTGCATGCGTGCGTGTGTGCACCCCCCCCCCCCCCACCAAGTTTAATAGCTGACACTGGAAATCCGTTGCTTGTTAAATGGCCATGTTTCGGTGGCCTCTTCTAAGACAACATTGATATCACACTCACTGGTCTCTTCTAAGACAACATTGATATCACACTCACTGGTCTCTTCTAAGACAACACTGATATCACACTCACTGGTCTCTTCTAAGACAACATTGATATCACACTCACTGATCTCTTCTAAGACAACACTGATATCACACTCACTGGTCTCTTCTAAGACAACACTGATATCACACTCACTGATCTCTTCTAAGGCAACATTGATATCACACTTCCTGGTCTCTTCTAAGACAACATTGATATCACACTCACTGGTCTCTTCTAAGACAACACTGATATCACACTCACTGGTCTCTTCTAAGGCAACATTGATATCACACTCACTGGTCTCTTCTAAGACAACATTGATATCACACTCACTGATCTCTTCTAAGGCAACATTGATATCACACTCACTGGTCTCTTCTCTGATCTCAAGATCTCTTCTAAGACAACATTGATATCACACTCACTGATCTCTTCTAAGGCAACATTGATATCACACTCACTGGTCTCTTCTAAGGCAACACTGATATCACACTCACTGGTCTCTTCTAAGACAACATTGATATCACACTCACTGGTCTCTTCTAAGGCAACATTGATATCACACTCACTGGTCTCTTCTAAGGCAACATTGATATCACACTCACTGGTCTCTTCTAAGGCAACATTGATATCACACTCACTGGTCTCTTCTAAGGCAACATTGATATCACACTCACTGGTCTCTTCTAAGGCAACACTGATATCACACTCACTGGTCTCTTCTAAGACAACACTGATATCACACTCACTGGTCTCTTCTAAGACAACATTGATATCACACTCACTGGTCTCTTCTAAGACAACACTGATATCACACTCACTGGTCTCTTCACAACATTGATATCACACTCACTGATCTCTTCTAAGACAACATTGATATCACACTCACTGGTCTCTTCTAATTGCATCACATTGATCTTAAGGCAACACTGATATCACACTCACTGGTCTCTTCTAAGGCAACACTGATATCACACTCACTGGTCTCTTCTAAGGCAACATTGATATCACACTCACTGATCTCTTCTAAGGCAACATTGATATCACACTCATATCACACTCACTGGTCTCTTCTAAGACAACATTGATATCACACTCACTGATCTCTTCTAAGACAACACTGATATCACACTCACTGATCTCTTCTAAGGCAACACTGATATCACACTCACTGGTCTCTTCTAAGACAACATTGATATCACACTCACTGGTCTCTTCTAAGACAACATTGATATCACACTCACTGGTCACACTCACTCTTCTAAGACAACATTGATATCACACTCACTGGTCTCTTCTAAGACAACATTGATATCACACTCACTGATCTCTTCTAAGACAACATTGATATCACACTCACTGGTCTCTTCTAAGGTAACATTGATATCACACTCACTGGTCTCTTCTAAGGCAACACTGATATCACACTCACTGATCTCTTCTAAGACAACATTTGATATCACACTCACTGATCTCTTCTAAGACAACACTGATATCACACTCACTGGATCTCTTCTAAGACAACATTGATATCACACTCACTGGTCTCTTCTAAGGCAACATTGATATCACACTCACTGATCTCTTCTAAGACAACATTGATATCACACTCACTGATCTCTTCTAAGACAACATTGATATCACACTCACTGGTCTCTTCTAAGGCAACATTGATATCACACTCACTGGTCTCTTCTAAGGCAACACTGATATCACATTGATATATCACACTCACTGGTCTCTTCTAAGGCAACATTGATATCACACTCACTGGTCTCTTCTAAGACAACATTGATATCACACTCACTGGTCTCTTCTAAGACAACATTTGATATCACACTCACTGGTCTCTTCTAAGACAACATTGATATCACACTCACTGGTCTCTTCTTCATTAAGTCTCTTCTAAGGCAACAACATTGATAAGGCAACACATCACACTCACTGGTCTCTTCTAAGACAACATTGATATCACACTCACTGGTCTCTTCTAAGGCAACATTGATATCACACTCACTGGTCTCTTCTAAGGCAACACTGATATCACACTGGTCACTGATCTCTTCTAAGACAACATTATATCACCTCACTGGTCTCTTCTAAGGCAACTGATATCACACTCACTGGTCTCTTCTAAGGTAACATTGATATCACACTCACTGGTCTCTTCTAAGACAACACTGATATCACACTCACTGATCTCTTCTAAGACAACATTGATATCACACTCACTGGTCTCTTCTAAGACAACACTGATATCACACTCACTGGTCTCTTCTAAGGCAACATTGATATCACACTCACTGATCTCTTCTAAGACAACACTGATATCACACTCACTGGTCTCTTCTAAGACAACACTGATATCACACTCACTGATCTCTTCTAAGACAACATTGATATCACACTCACTGATCTCTTCTAAGACAACATTGATATCACACTCACTGGTCTCTTCTAAGACAACATTGATATCACACTCACTGATCTCTTCTAAGACAACATTGATATCACACTCACTGATCTCTTCTAAGACAACACTGATATCACACTCACTGATCTCTTCTAAGACAACACTGATATCACACTCACTGATCTCTTCTAAGACAACATTGAACACACTTGATATCATCACTCACTGATCTCTTCTAAGACAACATTGATATCACACTCACTGATCTCTTCTAAGACAACATTGATATCACACTCACTGATCTCTTCTAAGATCTTCAAAACAACATTGATATCACACTCACTGATCTCTTCTAAGACAACATTGATATCACACTCACTGATCTCTTCTAAGACAACATTGATATCACACTCACTGATCTCTTCTAAGACAACATTGATATCACACTCACTGGTCTCTTCTAAGACAACACTGATATCACACTCACTGATCTCTTCTAAGACAACATTGATATCACACTCACTGATCTCTTCTAAGACAACATTGATATCACACTCACTGGTCTCTTCTAAGACAACATTGATATCACATCACACTCACTGGTCTTCTAAGACAACATTGATATATCTCTTCTAAGACAACATTGATATCACACTCACACTGGTCTCTTCTAAGACAACACTGATATCACACTCACTGATCTCTTCTAAGACAACATCACACTCACTGATATCACACTCACTGGTCTCTTCTAAGACAACATTGATATCACACTCACTGGTCTCTTCTAAGACAACATTGATATCACACTCACTGATCTCTTCTAAGACAACATTGATATCACACTCACTGATCTCTTCTAAGACAACATTGATATCACACTCACTCTTCTAAGACAACATTGATATCACACTCACTGATCTCTTCTAAGACAACATTGATATCACACTCACTGATCTCTTCTAAGACAACATTGATATCACACTCACTGATCTCTTCTAAGATCTCGTTCTCTTACACTGATATCACACTCACTGATCTCTTCTAAGACAACATTGATATCACACTCACTGATCTCTTCTAAGACAACATTGATATCACACTCACTGATCTCTTCTAAGACAACATTGATATCACACTCACTGATCTCTTCTAAGACAACACTGATATCACACTCACTGATCTCTTCTAAGACAACATTGATATCACACTCACTGGTCTCTTCTAAACAACATTGATATCAACACTGATATCTAAGACAACATTGATATCACACTCACTGGTCTCTTCTAAGACAACACTGATATCACACTCACTGGTCTCTTCTAAGACAACATTGATATCACACTCACTGGTCTCTTCTAAGACAACATTGATATCACACTCACTGGTCTCTTCTAAGACAACATTGATATCACACTCACTGGTCTCTTCTAAGACAACATTGATATCACACTCACTGGTCTCTTCTAAGACAACACTGATATCACACTCACTGGTCTCTTCTCAAGTCTCTTCTAACAACACTGATATCACTGGTCTCTTCTAAGACACTGATATCACACTCACTGGTCTCTCTAAGACAACATTGATATCACACTCACTGATCTCTTCTAAGACAACATTGATATCACACTCACTGGTCTCTTCTAAGACAACATTGATATCACACTCACTGGTCTCTTCTAAGACAACATTGATATCACACTCACTGGTCTCTTCTAAGGCAACATTGATATCACACACTGGTCTCTTCTCAACTGGTCTCACTGGTCTCTTCTAAGACAACATTGATATCACACTCACTGGTCTCTTCTAAGACAACATTGATATCACACTCACTGGTCTCTTCTAAGACAACATTGATATCACACTCACTGGTCTCTTCTAAGACAACATTGATATCACACTCACTGGTCTCTTCTAAGACAACATTGATATCACACTCACTGATCTCTTCTAAGACAACATTGATATCACACTCACTGATCTCTTCTAAGGCAACACTGATATCACACTCACTGATCTCTTCTAAGGCAACATTGATATCACACTCACTGGTCTCTTCTAAGGCAACATTGATATCACACTCACTGGTCTCTTCTAAGGCAACATTGATATCACACTCACTGGTCTCTTCTAAGACAACATTGATATCACACTCACTGATCTCTTCTAAGGTAACATTGATATCACACTCACTGATCTCTTCTAAGGCAACATTGATATCACACTCACTGGTCTCTTCTAAGGCAACATTGATATCACACTCACTGGTCTCTTCTAAGACAACATTGATATCACACTCACTGGTCTCTTCTAAGACAACACTGATATCACACTCACTGGTCTCTTCTAAGGCAACATTGATATCACACTCACTGGTCTCTTCTAAGGTAACATTGATATCACACTCACTGATCTCTTCTAAGGCAACATTGATATCACACTCACTGGTCTCTTCTAAGGTAACATTGATATCACACTCACTGGTCTCTTCTAAGGCAACATTGATATCACACTCACTGGTCTCTTCTAAGGTAACATTGATATCACACTCACTGGTCTTTTCTAAGACAACATTGATATCACACTTCCTGGTTTCTTCTGAGGCAACATTGATATCACACTTAGTAGTCTCTTCTAAGGCAACATTGATATCACACTTCCTGATCTCTTCTAAGGCAACATTAAGCTTTTGCCTGTTCATTTGTTTTTCAAGTTGTTGAACAAACTCCTTCTAAGACCCAATCTGCAAGAGCTCTTGTGGTGGAGTTTCCCAGTAGCTTAAGAGTTTACAGTTGGGAGGATAAACTTCATTACATCAGAGAGCTTCACGGAGCACAAACTTCATAGCTCTATTGACAGTCCCCAGTGATCTCCAGAACTCTATTAGTATTGCACCCATGAACTGAATGATGCAGTCCATGTTACAAGCTCATGATTTACCAAGTGCTATGCCACTGGGTGAACCAATTTTCCGCAGAGTCTCATTGAATACCATACCAGATCTTCTGGAGGGACTGCACATAAAAACAGTCTAAGTGAATACCATATCAGAGCTTCTGGAGAGACTGCACATAAAACAGTCTCAGTGAATACCATACTGTAATGAAATATAGGCAGAAAGGGGTTAAATGAACAAAGCATACATTTCAGACCACCAGACGGCGTACTAATCCATCACTGTGTGAAATGACAGAAATGGGTGATTAGAAAGCCATGGCCTAGCCAACTATGCAGAACATCTTCATGAAAACCGCCATGACATCTGACAGTGAGGGATGAAACATTCGACGAGTGCCCGTGAGCTGTGACCAGCTGAAGAGATACGTTCATCCAAACGTGACCACCAAAGACAGGTGACAGGGGAGTGATTAAGAAGGTACGCCAGAAAGAGCGGGAAAGCGGGAGAATAAAGTCGGAGCCAGGGGCTTGAGAAGTTAGTTAGGACCAGACAGCTTGAGAGACCAGTTGAGAACACCAGTGCTATACTTCGTTTAAAAGGATATGTTAAACTTGGAGTTTAACTAGAACAGAGAGTTAGCCACGGAACCACTTGATAGGACAGGTTAGGGCTGAACCGCTGGAAAGACCGGTTAGGAGAAAACTAGTGCTTTACTTCGTTTAGAGGGTATATGTTAAACTTGGAGTTTAGCCAGAACAGTGGTTAAGGAACTCGTAGAGGCATACGAATAGCCAGTAATAAGGAGTGTTCATATACTATTGCTTATTGAATTTATGAAATGTGTGTGACGAGAATATTATGAATAAACCAGCTCTTATGTAATTGATTACATCACTGGCCTTGTTCTTGAGTACGATTGAAGAGAGATACGAACTATATTCATTCAACTTAGCCGACTTAGGCACATCTATTTCTTGGGGGATGTATAGGCACGACTGTGCCACAATACCAGATCTTCTGGAGAGACTGCACATAAAAACAGTCTCAGTAAATACCATACCAGATCTTCTGGGGAGACTGCACATAACAGAGTTAATGAAAGAAATTTTTAAAAGGGACACGATTGAAATATTTCAGCCACACTAGAATACATAACACTCTTTTAAAACTACAATGAAGGTTAAGGTCAAGAGCAAGAGGTAGACAGTGATACAGGTGGGAGCACAACATCAAGAGGTGGACAAACAGCAGTCTGAAAGAGTGTAAAACCAGGACAAAACAGCATATTGAAGATTCATTACAGACAACATTTATCATGGAGATGGTATCTAAATGATTGATTGATACCCACCCAGCCCTTAGCCCCCACCAAATATTTGGTCTAATGGCTGAACGCGGTTTTTATGGAACCTCTTCATGGGTGATCATCATTCACATGGTGGCACTTTGTGTCATCGGGTGTTTATCACTTGTGTAATGTCCTGGTGGGGTAAAAGAAGATAGATAGAAGAGCCCCACTTTCTACTCTTGACCTCACTCAATTCAGTTTTTTGGCTAATGTTTACTGCTTGTTGCACATTCTTGAAAATACAGTTTGTTGAAGAATACTGCAGCATACATTGTGTGCGTGTGTGAGGTTGCTTGTTTTTAAATACTGATATTTGACTGTATAATGTGTTAAGTGGTAAGACATCCTGGTGGCCTTGGCTCAGTCAGTTCACTGTTTGAATGTGTGTAGTTATCTGTGAATTCCACAAGCTTGTACTGCGCCTACGTATGCACCCAGGGGCAGAAACTAGAGATATTGAGTAAATGAGTATGTAACATCAGTGTAAGGAATCTGATTCTTTCAGTCATGTCAAGTTGAATATTTTATTCACTCCAGGTAGTTGCTAAAACAAAAGAGACCAAGGGAAACTACTCTATGCAGCTGAGCACATCTGTTCAGAGTAAGATATATTTTGTTGTTGTTATTAACCAGAAATATCCCAGGATTGTTATTGTTTCTCCTGCTGTTGAGTGACCTCTTTACCCCTGTCCTGGCTGTGGTGTTCTCTTTCAGGCGCTGACATGACTAAATACCAACCTAGCATGGGACCAGAGAATATTCGCCTGACACAAAGACATGATAACATTGGACACTCTGACTTTTGTGTGCATACACATATAAAACAGTGCACATAAATACCCCCCCCCCCCCCCCCCCCCCCCCCCCCCCCTCCTTGTTTTCACTGGACCCAGTGAGGAAAAGAAAAAAAAAATCAACATTGATAAATTGTCCAATATCAGATAACAACGGTATGTTCAGATGTTTTATTCATCAGCTTTGTGAGTCGTGATTCAAGAGACAATACAAAATAAAATAGATATGAATTTTCCAAAAAAAAGTGGTTTTTGTTAACAGTTTTGGCACACTTCAATCTTCTGTTTCCTCTTGTCGCTGGTGATAAATAAGAGATTCACAATTGATCTCCATTGCTGCGATCTGCTGCTTTTCTGCCCATGGTATCCCATGTCAGTTTACATTCCTTCATTTCCCGTTCTATTGTCCTTCTCCAGGTTTCCTTAGGTTGTCCACATCTTCTTTTCCCATCTACTGTCCACCGGAGAGCTGTTTTTGCTAGTGTCACAAGGCATTGTGCAGACATGTCCAAGCCATCTCCATCGTCTTACTTTGATAACATTTGCCAGTGATGCACATTCCTCAGTTCTTCATTTTTGATCTTGTTTGGCCAAATTATTTGTAGAATTCTCCTTAAACATTTATTTTGAAAAGTCTCAAGTTTATGTGTAATTCCCGCTGTCATTTCCCAGCATTCACTGTTGTATAATAGTATTCCTGAAATGTTCCTCTTGTATATTCTGAATTTTGTCTTTACGAAGTGTTTTAGGCACACGAGAAGTAATAATTTTTTTGCTTGTAGAGTAATGAGTAAAGAAGCCAAAACTATCATCTGTGCTTCGTAAACTATTAACAAATACCTCTCATAGAGTCATCCATGACAAATTATTTCAATATCTAGATGATGTAAGTACCGATAACAAAGATAAAAGGTTAATTACAAAGTTATAAGTAAAAAACTTTTTTTACTCCAGAGGCTGCCTTTACTTCCAGGACATTTCCTGGTGCCAGTTGTATGCAGGGTAGACCTTGGAGCCGAGGTAAATTTGTTTCAAATCTGTCGGAAGACAGATTTTAAACCAAGACCCTCAAATGTTAAAAACACACAAGTGTCTAGCCATTTGGCCACCACGGCTTCCGGTAACAAACTGTATACTGGGAACAAACAGCACAGTTAGACCATTAAAGTCGTTTCCATCTCTGATAGATATACAAACAAGTACTTTATTTGATGGCTGTGAATGAACTCTGATAGATTACAAATAAGCACTTGATTTGATATCTCTGAATGAAATCTGATAGATATACAAACAAGCACTTGATTTGATATCCCAGAATGAACTCTGATAGATATACAAACAAGCACTTGATTTGATATCTCTGAATGAACTCTAATAGATATACAATCAAGCACTTGATTTGATGTCTGTGAATTAACTTGATAAATGATGTTAGACCTTTCCGCGTGGGTTCCGATCACCACTGTTAATGAAAACAAGAATAGGCCCACTGCCTTCCCAGCATTCATGTGGTACGAGTCAACTAACTGAGGGTATCCTTTGGCTGCACAAAAGACACCTCCTGCAACGCCGTGCGTTATTTCCTGGGTCTGCCGACGATGACGAGCAGATACAAAGTGTCACAGGTCAAGGCTTACTTGAGGGTATCGGCAGACGTTAACCACAAAGCTATACACGACACAAAAGGAACGAGTCTCAAAAGAGGTCACTCTTGGATGACAAGGGCTGAGGATTTAATCCAGTAGGTATGTGACCTAGACGTGATCAGTCACGGAAAAGAATGGACGAATACATCAGTAGACATGCATGGCATCTTTAAGGTTGTCATCACACTCGGAAGGTACTGCCGGGATCAAATTACTGCGGCCGTAGACACAGAAGTAAGCGAACTGAAAGATCAGCATTCAGACCCAAAAGATATCATCATCTACACAGATGGATCCGTGAAGCACGGATCAAGGTCAGCATGGTCATACACAGCACAAAGAGGGGGGAAAACGATACAGGAGGACAGCGGCGCTTACCAGACAACCACGTCAAGCATGACCATGGAAATAGCCGCTGCTTGTAGAGCCTTAGCATGGGTATCTGAGCAAACCACCACACAGGCAGTTGTTGCATCAGACTCCATGAATATGCCTCAGAAGATAGCAAAAGGCACTCTGAATGGGTAGAAAGTATTCGAAAATCGCACTTAACCTCCCTCACCTGGATCTACACACCAGGTCATGCGGGCGTAAAGGGAAATGAGCAAGCAGACCAACTGGCAAGCACTGCACTAATGATTGCGGGGGAAAAGCATGGACACAGCAGATATCGTCAACGCTGTACGCACTGAGCTAGTGGATAATAAGGAATCTCTGGCTCTAACATGATTGCATGACATGGGAGTTAAGCATGGTGAAGCACGCCTTTGCCATCTTTGAAGCTGAGATAGGAGACAATATAACCAGCTTCTCATGAGAACAATTAGTAGAAGTCCTTTGGAGTGGCTGCTGCAATGAAGGACTGAGCACGCAATGGAATGCCCAATGTGCAGTGACGTCGATTGTGATAACATGAAATAACATAACATCTTGTAGGGAGTCGGCTGTCCCAAACCCAAGTTCAAGGTGTCTCCTTCGTGCCAAAGAACTGCATGGCTGTTGGGTGAACAGTCGCTAACGAAGACAGTCAGGTCATTATAGGAGTGAGGCTTACTGGTGGATGTAATGTCTTAAATCCTTTCCCCAGCTAATAGCCAGGGTACTGCTGGGGTGGCCATTTATTAACCCTCACATATTGTTTCAGGTCAAAATGGACGCTAGGCACGGCCACTTTTCTTAGCTGTGGCAAATTATTTTGCTTTTGCCAGACGGTGGCCGTTGAATTTTTGCTCCATTTGTAGACTGGAAGGAGTTTCTGAGTTGAGTGCACGGCATGACACTGTGAGCTGCAGATTTCATTTGAACTGTGATAAACATTTTGTGTGTTTTTCGTTGGAACAGGAGCAGAGAAACTATGGGATGACCCCTTTGCTATGAAGCTGAAACTATGAATACCAGATTAACAGATCCTTCAAAGTCAAAGTACATCTGCTTAAGAGGCAAGGAACCAAGAGTCTGCAAATATATGAATCAGATCTGTGAAACAGATGTGCACACAACTCTTAGACTGAAGTCCAGAGATGGGTGAATGCCTAGAACTTTCCACCGTAGTTTACAGTCAGTGAATATGAAAAAGAAGGTGTTAAGCCTACTGTACATACAAAAATGCAAATTCCAGTGTATACAGCAAAAGTATTTCTGAATTCTGTTTGATAGAGTCTGATTATGTACATAAACATATGCTTAACCTGATGTTTGTGTTAGAGAATGTGAGAAGACAAACAGCCATAAAGAAGGAAAGAAAATCATTTTCATTTTTACTGAAATATGTCTGTGACAGTATGTTTGGCTAGCACAGACCAGCTTTTCAATAATTGTTTTCTTTCTGCCAGATTCTGGTTTTAGCTCTAAACTCCAGGGTGCGGCACCTTTAATAAGTGATGATATTATAACACATAACTTGCCAGATGGTCATTTTGATACACCAGATGACTTGAGCGATAATAGCTCAATCAGAAAAAGACACATACCTACAAAGGTAAATAAGACTGCTGAAAGAACTGTTCTGATAACACAAGCTGATACACACCAGAGATCTGCCACAGGGTCAGCCACAAACAAAGTCATCACAGTTCCTCAAGTCAGTGGTACACAAGTTGCATCTTCTGATGAATCTAGTAAGTGTAAGAAGGAAACATGGACACAGAATCAGCAGACCATCTTTGAATGGGCCCTGAAGCAGTTCCCAAAAGGTACAGACCAGCGCTGGGAGAAAATTGCTGAACAGATACCAGGGAAGTCCAAAGTAAGTACTTAATATATATATATGTCCCCTTGCTACTTTTTGTAGCCATTGCATAGTCTGTCAACATCCATCCAGTTGATTCATTGTAACCATTTGGTAGTCAGCTACACGCCAATATTTGTAAGAGTTTGGTTATTTGCATGTGCAGTGAAGTTGTGCTGTTTGACTCTCTTGCTAGGCCACAGCAGAGTTTGGTTACTTCCATGTGCAGTGAAGTTGTGCTGTTTGACTCTCTTGCTAGGCCACAGCAGAGTTTGGTTACTTGCATGTCCAGTGAAGTTGTGCTGTTTGACTCTCTTGCTAGGCCACAGCAGAGTTTGGTTACTTGCATGTCCAGTGAAGTTGTGCTGTTTGACTCTCTTGCTAGGCCACAGCAGAGTTTGGTTATTTGCATGTGCAGTGAAGTTGTGCTGTTTGACTCTCTTGCTAGGCCACAGCAGAGTTTGGTTACTTCCATGTGCAGTGAAGTTGTGCTGTTTGACTCTCTTGCTAGGCCACAGCAGAGTTTGGTTACTTGCATGTCCAGTGAAGTTGTGCTGTTTGACTCTCTTGCTAGGCCACAGCAGAGTTTGGTTACTTGCATGTCCAGTGAAGTTGTGCTGTTTGACTCTCTTGCTAGGCCACAGCAGAGTTTGGTTATTTGCATGTGCAGTGAAGTTGTGCTGTTTGACTCTCTTGCTAGGCCACAGCAGAGTTTGGTTACTTCCATGTGCAGTGAAGTTGTGCTGTTTGACTCTCTTGCTAGGCCACAGCAGAGTTTGGTTACTTGCATGTCCAGTGAAGTTGTGCTGTTTGACTCTCTTGCTAGGCCACAGCAGAGTTTGGTTACTTGCATGTCCAGTGAAGTTGTGCTGTTTGACTCTCTTGCTAGGCCACAGCAGAGTTTGGTTATTTGCATGTGCAGTGAAGTTGTGCTGTTTGACTCTCTTGCTAGGCCACAGCAGAGTTTGGTTACTTCCATGTGCAGTGAAGTTGTGCTGTTTGACTCTCTTGCTAGGCCACAGCAGAGTTTGGTTACTTGCATGTCCAGTGAAGTTGTGCTGTTTGACTCTCTTGCTAGGCCACAGCAGAGTTTGGTTACTTCCATGTGCAGTGAAGTTGTGCTGTTTGACTCTCTTGCTAGGCCACAGCAGAGTTTGGTTACTTGCATGTCCAGTGAAGTTGTGCTGTTTGACTCTCTTGCTAGGCCACAGCAGAGTTTGGTTACTTCCATGTGCAGTGAAGTTGTGCTGTTTGACTCTCTTGCTAGGCCACAGCAATAAACTAGGGTCAGGTTTATCTCCAGCTCCCTGCTTACTCTGCCAAACTGCAGTGATGCAGCCAGTGGTCATGACCTCTTGGAGGTGAAAGGTTTGCGGTAGAAACTAGAGGTCAATAAATAAATACTGCCTTTAGTGTCTGCAGTTACCAGTTTTAGTGCATTGTAGAAAGGGGGGGGGGGGGTGCTGTTGAGCTGGAAAGTTTACAAGAACATCTACCAGTCAACTGCTACTGGGTGCATTAAGCATGGAGACACTGAGATGGATGCTGCATCGGAAGATGGAGCACAAATTGGTTGAACAGCTGTGATGTCAATACAGACAACAAATACCTTTAGGCTGGCATTACACAATAGATGACCTGACTGCAGCTGTATCTTATCACTTGTGTATTTGTCACACAGGCTCACACGTGCTGGTCTCACACTATTATTGTTATCAACACCTTTCCATCTTCCAGACGATAGTGTTATATTGTGCTATAAGAAAAGTCTTTCACAATTACAGCGTTGGCAACCGTTGTTGCCAGTAAAATCCATGGCATTTTGTTCCTAGGAATCCACCTCAATACCTGTATCATTCAGATTCCGCTTGCAGGCATATTTATAGTATATTGTCTGTTTTATATATCGTAGTAGAGGTTGGCCTCTACATCTTCTAAGCATCTGGAATTTACCATAGAAAATGCCATTAGGGGCTCTACCATTCTCCAGGTGTGACCCAGCCACATGAGCCCTCATAGACTGAGCATTGAGGAGCCCAAATCATCATTATACCTGTCTGGCTGTGTCACTATACATTTCTGAAGCACGGACTTTAACAGAAGTGAAATAAGACAAAAACTGTTGAGAGATCATGTTATTACAGGATTTTGTTTGTAAATTTGCTGATTTTTAAACAGACGGAATCTGCTAAAGGAATGAACAGTCAGCATGTAATTCTAATTCAAACTGTATTATATTGTTTAGGAAGACTGCGTTGCCAGGTTCAAGATGCTGGCAGAGCTGGTCAGTAAGAGGAAGAAGACTGAGGTTCAAGACATCACTTCCAGCTGACGGAATCAAAACATTGATGAGGAAACAACACAGTAGCGGCAGTAACTTACGGACATGGTGAATTGATCATTTGTTGTTGTTGTGTGGTTGCTGGGCTGCAGAGAAATCATTGATGGCGTCCACATTATGTCTGCTAGTCAGCTTCTGCTGACCCTTAACTAGTTCCTACTGCTTCCTTCACCAGTTTCTACAGTCAAGTTATTTTCTGAGCAGTCTTGGAAACTCTATTACAAGTTTATTATTCCTTTTCCAGATTTGACCTTTACAAGTTTTAATGGTTCTTTACTGATTTAATCGCTTCATTTTTGGATTAGTGGTGTTCTGCTAATGTCCATGCTAGTTGGTGATGTTCTGCTGATGTCCATGCTAGTTGGAGGTGTTCTGCTAATATCCATGCTAGTTGGTGATGTTCTGCTGTTGTCCATGCTAGTTGGTGATATTCTGCTGATGTCCATGCTAGTTGGTGATGTTCTGCTGATGTCCATGCTAGTTGGTGATGTTCTGCTGATGTCCATGCTAGTTGATGATGTTCTGCTGATGTCCATGCTAGTTGGTGATGTTCTGCTGACACCCATGCTAGTTGATGATGTTCTGCTGATGTCCATGGTAGTTGGTGATGTTCTGCTGATGTCCATGCTAGTTGGTGATGTTCTGCTGTTGTCAATGCTAGTTGGTGATGTTCTCCTGATGTCCATGCTAGTTGCTGATGTTCTGCTGATGTCCATGCTAGTTGGTGATGTTCTGCTGATGTCCATGCTAGTTGGTGATGTTCTGCTGACTCCCATGCTAGTTGGTGATGTTCTTCTGATGTCCATGCTAGTTGGTGATATTCTGCTGATGTCCATGCTAGTTGATGATGTTCTGCTGATGTCCATGCTAGTTGATGATGTTCTGCTGATGTCCATGCTAGTTGGTGATGTTCTGCTGACTCCCATGCTAGTTGGTGATGTTCTGCTGATGTCCATGCTAGTTGGTGATGCTCTGCTGACTCCCATGCTAGTTGGTGATGTTCTGCTGACACCCATGCTAGTTGGTGATGTTCTGCTGATGTCCATGCTAGTTGGTGATGTTCTGCTGACTCCCATGCTAGTTGATGATGGTCTGCTGATGTCCATGCTAGTTAGTGATGTTCTGCTGATGTCCATGCTAGTTAGTGATGTTCTGCTGACACCCATGCTAGTTGGTGGTGTTCTGCTGATGTCCATGCTAGTTGGTGATGTTCTGCTGACTCCCATGCTAGTTGATGATGTTCTGCTGATGTCCATGCTAGTTGGTGATGTTCTGCTGATGTCCATGCTAGTTGGTGATGTTCTGCTGATGTCCATGCTAGTTGGTGATGTTCTGCTGATGTCCATGCTAGTTGGTGATGTTCTGCTGATGTCCATGCTAGTTGGTGATGTTCTGCTGACACCCATGCTAGTTGGTGATGTTCTGCTGACTCCCATGCTAGTTGATGATGTTCTGCTGACTCCCATGCTACTTGAGGATGTTATTTCTGGTATGATGATCTTGTACTAGTGGGTCTGACATCAGTGCCAGTTAGCAGTGATCTTTCGGCAGTCTGTTTCATGTTTAGCTGCCAGAGACAGGAGATCAGCTTGTGGAAACTATGTCTCTCAGGGATGATGTCTCTCGGGGATGATGTCTGCAAGGGATGATGTCTCTCATGGATGATGTCTCTTGGGGATGATGTCTCTCAGGGATGATGTCTGCAAGGAATGATGTCTCTCAGGGATGATGTCTCTCGGGGATGATGTCTCCAAGGGATGATGTCTCTCATGGATGATCTTTCTCAGGGATGATGTCTTTCATGGATGATGTCTCACAGGGATAATGTCTCTCAGGGATGATGTCTCTCAGGGATGATGTCTCCAAGGGATGATGTCTCTCATGGATGATGTCTCTCAGGGATGATGTCTTTCAGGGATGATGTCTCTCAGGGATGATGTCTCCAAGGGATGATGTCTCCAAGGGATGATGTCTCTCATGGATGATCTCTCCCTGGGATGATGTCTTTCATGGATGATGTCTCTCAGGGATGATGTCTCTCAGGGATGATGTCTCTCAGGGATGATGTCTCTCATGGATGATGTTTTTCATGGATGATGTCTCTCAGGGATGATGTCTTCCAGGGATGATGTCTCCAAGGGATTATGTCTCTCATGGATGATCTCTTCCTGGGATGATGTCTCTCAGGTTTAGAAGACACAGTCAGTAATTTATCTCCCTTGACACCCCAGATGGTAAAAGAGCAGGTTTAGAAGACACAGTCAGTAATTTATCTCCCTTGACACCCCAGATGGTAAAAGAGCAGGTTAAGAAGACACAGTCAGTAATTTAGCTCCGTTGTGACTTACATGTTGCCATGGTCGCCTCTATCTAATGATATTATTGTGTTGATACAAACAAATAGCTGGAGCCAACTAATCAGTCATTGGCCTGTATATGTTCATAAAATAATAGACACCACCCAGTATCACAAATTGATGTTTGCTGTATGTTATATACATTTGAAATAAACAGCTGAGAACCATCATGATATAAACCTGAGTTCCATATGTGTGTTTTTGTTTTTGTAGTAGTTGGTGAATCTTCCAGAAGATTGATGTTTTAGTCGGATGTATATTGTTTGTTTGGTTTTTTTAAATGTATTTGAGAGCTGAAAAAGTCTATTATCTCCTGAAGTGTAGTTGGTATAAAGAATTATCTCACAATTGTTATGTGCCTTGTATCTCCTGAAGTGTGGTTGGTATAAAGAATTATCTCACAATTGTTATGTGCCTTGTATCTCCTGAAGTGTGGTTGGTATAAAGACTTGTCGACAATTATTGTGTGCCTTGTATCTCCTGAAGTGTGGTTGGTATAAAGACTTGTCTGACAATTATTGTGTGCCTTGTATCTCCTGAAGTGTGGTTGGTATAAGAAAAGAATTATCTCACAATTGTTATGTGCCTTGTATCTCCTGAAGTGTGGTTGGTATAAAGACTTGTCTGACAATTATTGTGTGCCTTGTATCTCCTGAAGTGTGGTTGGTATAAAGACTTGTCGACAATTATTGTGTGCCTTGTATCTCCTGAAGTGTGGTTGGTATAAAGACTTGTCTGACAATTATTGTGTGCCTTGTATCTCTCAAAGTGTGGTTGGTATAAAGACTTGTCTGACAATTATTGTGTGCCTTGTATCTCCTGAAGTGTGGTTGGTATAAAGACTTGTCGACAATTATTGTGTGCCTTGTATCTCCTGAAGTGTGGTTGGTATAAAGACTTGTCTGACAATTATTGTGTGCCTTGTATCTCTCAAAGTGTGGTTGGTATAAAGACTTGTCTGACAATTATTGTGTGCCTTGTATCTCCTGAAGTGTGGTTGGTATAAAGACTTGTCTGACAATTATTGTGTGCCTTGTATCTCTCAAAGTGTGGTTGGTATAAAGACTTGTCTGACAATTATTGTGTGCCTTGTATCTCTCAAAGTGTGGTTGGTATAAAGACTTGTCTGACAATTCAGAAGGTGTGCAAAACAAGCATTGGAAATTCACATCTGTGCAAAGACATTAGGTTGTTAAACATTCATTGTTTAGCACAGCGCAGCACACACACACACCTACACACACACACACACAAGTCTGGCTGAGATGAGACCTTGGCTGGTCAAGTGTCTGTGGCACGGCACACACACACACACACACACACACACACACACACACACACAAGTCTGGCTGGGATGAGACCTTGGCTGGTCAAGTGTCTGTGGCACGGCACACACACACACACACACACAAGTCTGGCTGAGATGAGACCTTGGCTGGTCAAGTGTCTGTGGCACGGCACACACACACACAAGTCTGGCTGGGATGAGACCTTGGCTGGTCAAGTGTCTGTGGCACGGCACACACACACACACACACACACACACAAGACTGGCTGGGATGAGACCTTGGCTGGTCAAGTGTCTGTGGCATGGCACACACACACACACACACACACACACACACACACACACACAAGTCTGGCTGGGATGAGACCTTGGCTGGTCAAGTGTCTGTGGCACGGCACACACACACACACCTACACACACACACAAGACTGGCTGGGATGAGACCTTGGCTGGTCAAGTGTCTGTGGCACGGCACACACACACACACACACACACAAGACTGGCTGGGATGAGACCTTGGCTGGTCAAGTGTCTGTGGCACGGCACACACACACACACACACACACACACCAAGACTGGCTGTGGATGAGCACCTTGGCTGGTCAAGTGTCTGTGGCACGGCACACACACACACACACACATACACACTGGCTGGGATGTCTTTGATGGTTATGTCCACTCCACAAGGTTTGAATATTTCATTGTCAACAGTCCAGCCCAAGGTCTAGCTGCAATAGAAACATAGAATCGGATGGCATGCTGCTCAACTCACGGCAGAGCAATTGTAAAGGGAGAGAGGGGGGGGGGGAGACAATCCACCATTTCAAACAGTCCTGGTTGACAGAGAACATCAGCATTTATTTTTTGTGGAAGAAAGATGTGCTGTATGTTTTTGTGGTCAATGAATGTGACGAGACATCATAACACCCAGACAGTACGAAGGAATTACAACTAAATGGGATTTATGAAAAAAGTGAGAATACGTAGAAAAGTCGCCACAAAATGATTGCACTGCAAAGTAAATAACCTGGGTGAATCTGTGCGTATTTATGTACGCGTTTGTTGTAAGTAAATGCGCGCTCACCAGTGTAAGGAGTTCGTGCTCTGCGATGATAATCTCTGCGTGGGGAGATCTGGGAAAATAACCAGTGTGCAGCGAAAGTTACAATTCACAAATCATGCCAGATATTTCTGCCTAAATATCCCAACCATTGAATAGGCAGCGCCTTAACCCAGGTATTACATGACAGCACAACCTTGTTATTATGCAATGACACAACCCATTCACGGGCTGTCGTAACTCATTTGTTACGCCGTGATCGCCTCTTCATGTTCATGAAATTACT